ACCCTTCCACTTTACCTCCCTTAATTCTTCATTCGACCATTTCTTTACTTTGTTCAAGAAATTTGGGTGTGTTACCACGGGTTCTCAACTCTAAAAGGTCTTGGTCCACTCAACAAAGTTTGAGAATCTATTCTTATAGGGCAATAATCAGCAGTGACTCTAGGCAAGCCTCTAGATATCAAATCTTCCCAATGGTTCTCCTAATCAAGGTTAAAGAGGAACCTATCTAATTTTGAGTAAAGAGGGATTTCTTGAAAATTAAACCAAGTCAATCTGGCTTATAGTAGGGGAGACTCCTTTAGCTCACAAAATTCTATGAATTCATTAAAGTTCCTCATGCTAGTTGTAATTGACTGTTGGGGGTTACTTGTTTCATCAGAAAATTTTATTACATTAAAGACCCTGCCTAGACATCAAGGGCCACCCCATAAGTCCTAAATCGAATATAGCTCCCCCACATTTTGTTCCTTTCCCTATAGCTATTTGGTCCATAAATATTAGTTAAAATCCAAGTGAATCTATCCTCCATGCTTCTAAATTTAATTGAGATTGAAAACCTACCAATCAATTCCTCCATAGGCCCCACTGCTTCATTCCTCCATAAAGAAACAATTCCCCCCTGAAGTTCCCCAAGAAGGGGCTGAGGTCCAAATTACTCTTGAACTCCACAAGCTTCTAGTCCACCTTCTATCCAAATCAGCTAATTTTGTCTCTTGTAGCAACACAATGTCCAGTAACTAATGTCAGTACCTAACCTTTAACATCCAAACTCAAATCTGTATTCTTGTGCTTGTCACCATGTGATTTTACCATTATACCAGGCAATGGTCCCTATCTGTTGGCTATGGTAGAAATAGAAACCATTGTTTAGAAAATTGGTCTGGACTGGCTGGTTGAAAGGGTTGAACCGTGACCTGGTCGGTTCAGCCATACCTTTAAAACTGGTATTCATGAAAAACAGGCCAAAACCGGCTGACTGGCCGGTTTAACTGGAAAAGCGGTAAATTGGATCCGGTTTTATGAAACTGCCCCCGTCACAATATGAATAGAAACTTCAAAATGGTAATGACAAAACTTGAACCTAAGACCTCTTATTTATGTGTATTGTCTTGTTGCTATTAGTCCATCTCTTTATTTGGATTTATTTGTGCCCATTTAATGTATATATTGCTTTAATACATACATATTTGAAAGAAAATGTGAGTTAAGATACTTGAACCCTGATCATTTATTTTAATCTATACTAATAAAAGTGTGAATGGGGAGGTATTGGCTTCTGGATTTTTTCTTTACTAAAATACCCCTCTTGAATTTAGTTCATCTCAATTGAAAGGGCATAAAATGTAATTAAAAGAATACCATTAAATACATTCAATTACCTCTCATTAAGTCTCACATTTAAGTCATTAAGTAATCACATTCTCATTGAATCCAACATTTATACTTTTTTGTTTATCATCATTAAATTCCACTAATAAATCCATACACAATAATTATTAGGGAAATTGTCTAAAACTCACCATGAGTTTTCAGCATTTCTCTTAAACTCACAACTTTTCAAAATGTCTAAAACTCACCATGTCACTAACTTGATGTCAAATAGACTAACGGGTGTTGGTATATTACCATTTTAACCTTCATAGAAAAATATAAAATATATACAACATAAATTAACGAGTGTTAATATATTACAATTTTAATATTTAGACATGAAAAAAGGAAAAAGTTCAAAAAATATTTTCAAATATAAAATACATAAAAACATAGAAATCACAAAAAATATAAAAATGTATAGAAATTTCAAACAAAATAAAAAACTATTTTCAAAATATAGAAACTATAGAAATTGAAAAACAAAATCAGAAAATAAAAATTGTAGAAAAAACACCAAAAGTTATAGAAAAAACACAAAAATTACAACTAAATAACAAAAAATACAGGAAAATTTATAGATTGTAGAAAATAGAACATGTAAAAAAACAGAAATTATAAAAAACATTGAAAATTATAACAAAACACTAAAAATGCAGAAAAATAAAAAAACTGAAAACTGAAAAGACCGTTTTTCCTCTAACTCGTCGCCATTCAAGGGTAATTTGGTCATGAAAATTGTTATTTATGCTGACATGGACACTTCTGTTAAGAAGCATTAACGGTGCACTAACGGAAGGTGGGTTTTGGAAAATAAAAACTTACTGACATGGTGAGTTTTAGACATTTTGAAAAGTTGTGGTGAGTTTAAGGGAAATGTTGAAAACTCATGGTGAGTTTTAGACAATTTCCCTAATTATTAATAGAAGGAAATTTTATATTTTTAAAATAAACATAAAAATGAAATCATATTTTTCATCTAGGTGGTGGGTAAGTAGTTCAACCATTTGGGTCAAATGGATAATTTCATGATGTCATAAATAAATAATACAAATTTAGAAATATAAAAAATACTTTTATTTATCATCATTAAATTCCACTAATAAATCCATACAAAATAATATTAATAGAATGAAATTTTATATTTTTAAAGTAAACCTAGAAATGAAATCATATTTTCCATCTAGGTCGTGGGTAAGTAATTCAACCATTTGGGTCAAATGGATAATTTCATGATGTCATAGATAAATAATACAAATTTAGAAATATAAGAAATACGAAAAATATAGAAAAAAATTTGAAAAAAAATGGACACGTTTATATTAAAAAATAACTATGATAAAATAGACATAATTTTATTAATGATGGACATCAAATATATAACTTAAAACCGATGGGAAATTAAACCATCTTCCTATCTAGGGGTGGGTTAGTGGTTCAACCTTTCAGGTCAAATAGTTTATCCCATGATATATAATTAAAAATATATTTTTTAAATAGAATAGTACAAAAAAATATGAAACAATTTTGGGCACATCTATAATATATATATATATAATATAAACAAAAATAAGTATGATAAATAATAATTATTTTTATCAATGATATAAATGAAATGCAAAATTTAAAACCAGTTTGAAAATGAAACCATTTCCATATCTAGATGGCAGGAAGGTCAATGATCTAATATTCCGAGTCAAATGAGTCAATCTATGATGTTATAACTAAGTAACAAATATTAAATATATACATATATACATACATGCATGCATACATACATACATATATATAAACACAAAGAAAAATATAAGCTTTGTATAAAGCATCTTGATACAATTCTATTGTTATATATTCACCATATTAAACAAAAATAAATGTGAAAAATAAGAATTACTTTTATTGGTGATGAAAATGGAATACATGATTTAAAATCAACCAAAAATGCAAAATGGTTTTTCCATCCAAGTGATGGGTTAGTGGTTAAACTATCCATGTCAAATGGATGTTATTATTAAATAATAAAATACATAAAATTCTAGAAAATGTAGAAATTTGTTGATAATTTTGGGTACATTCTATAATGTTATATATTCATCATATAAAAAGTGTGATTAATGAAAATTATTTTCATTATGGTAAAAATGGGATAAAAATTAGGATAAAAAATAAAGAGCATTAATGTCTAACACATGACCCCACTAACCAATATATTTGAATTTGATTCAATCTGAAGATCTGATAAGATCTCATAAATATTGATTCAAATATGAATCCAATCATTAGGTTGGATATCCGAATCTGAGACGACCCGATTTAATTTAAAATCAATAAATTAATAAAAGGAAAAGAAAATATAATAGTTGAAATAAAGAAAAACAAAAATTATAAGTAATTTTTCAACTATTTTCATCATGTAAGAAGTTTACAAAAATGCAATATAAATAACATATTTATAAATAAATAAATAATAAATAACATATATATTATATCTAAATGATATATATATATTTATATATATAATTGATTTGACGACAATATTAAAAACAGTATTCGAACAATATATTGGAATTACATTTCCTCTTGGTAAATAAGTAATTTTTATTATCTCATAAATTAAATAATAAAAAGTAAAAATATATAATTTTTTTATAAGTTTTATAGAAAAATTTGAACATGCATTAATATTATATATTCTTCATATTAAACAAAAATATGTTTGAAAGATAAGAATTATTATTAGTAAAGATAGAAATGGCTAAAATACAAAGAAAATAAAGAATTAGTGTCTTAATCATAGTCCATTTTCCTGGTTAAATTGGTGAATGGTTCAATCAGTATGGTCATTTGGTTGTTGACGATTATCATCATCATCATTTGATATTGCCACGTGCAATGCGCGTACACTTTTACTAGTAACTTTAAAACTGGCCATCTGTCCACCACATAAGTGTGGTGGTATTTGTAAAATATATTATATGTAGTATTTACATGACCTACAAAATATATATGCATATGGCATGTCATCACGGTTCGACCTCCAGTTTCACCGTGGTTGAACCTATGAACCGTGAATGTCTCCCTTTTCCGGTTCTCTGAACATTGATAGAAACAGTGAACTCTTTATTCAGGTCATAACAGAAAAAAGCAATAGAATAGAATATAATACGTACCTTACAAGACCTGTTGATATTCTTTTGTAGACTAGTAAGAAATCAAAAACGGCAACTCCTTGGTGAAAATATTAACTCGCTATTCAAACTTGAACTCCTTTAAACCTCTCTATTAATTTTTTAAGAAACCAGAAATTAAGTCATGATTTTACTATAAATGGTAATTACAGAAACTACTGTAATTAGTGATTTTGGAAATTACTGAAAATATAAGTCTTAAAAATACTTAAAATAGTAATTTCGATTTTACTAAGAATAGTAATTTTCTAGAAGATTGAAACTTAGCTCTGTTCCCAGGACACCAACAAATTAGAAAAAACTCAAAATTACTATAGTAAAAATCTCTCAATATTGAAAATTCCCCCTTGTTCAAGAATATGAAAAATCTTAATTTCTTCCATAGTTTTTGCATCTAGCATGAAAGGTTTAGTTAACATTATTTGCCTTTTTTGCTTCCAGTGTGGATCTTCAGGCATCTGGCCAACCCATGACACCTTTTACTGTGGATATTGATGATGAGCAAACCATTGAGGGGACAGCTGACGTTGAAATCATGGTAGAGGGTGGCCTTGGAGAACAGATTGATTCCGATCTGTGTGATCCAATGAGAGCTGATGATTCTAGTATTCTTAATGGTGATCCTATTCAAAACCCAGATCAAAATGAGGAGGTTTTTCCTTGTAAACCAATTGATTGTCCATCTTCAAATCCTTCAGAAGAGTTGGTTGAGTGTGCTCAGGCCCAACAGATTGATTCTGATCTGTGTGATCCAAAGAGAGATGATGATTCTAGTATTCTTAATGGTGATCCTATTCAAAACCCAGATCAAAATGAGGATGATTTTCCTTGTAAACCAATTGACCGTCCATCTTCAAATCCTTCAGAAGACTTGGTTGAGTGTGCTCAGGCCCCTTTTACCCCTGGATTAATGGAAGAGTCAATTCAAGCAAAGCAACCAGGGGACTCTCTATCTGCTGCAGAGGGCATGGACCACATTGCTCCAGATGTTTCCCGTACTATTTCTTCACCCACTTCAGTTCTAGTTGAACAACCAAAACCTGTTTCTCCTGTGTCAGAATGCTCAGATAGAGTTATAACTGCAGCTGATGGTCAGGAGCAGGCAGAAGCTTTACAAAATGGAGCTATGAATAACAAGGATCCCACAGGAGTTGTAAATGAAGCATGTACCCCTACTTGTGCATTGCCATCTAGTCCAGACCTTTTGTTGGGGTCTGACGGTGGGCATGAGCTTGGTGAAGCTCAAACTAAAAGTTGTACGAGATCACAAGACTCCCAGATTTTGAGCCCAGTTGGTTCTGTTGAAAAGTCCTGTGGTTGTAATCCTGCTCTTCAGGCATGCAGTTCCCAGAAGAACCAATCTGATTCATTCTCTTTGTCAGATGGTAATTTAGCAGATAATGTGCCTGAATCCAGAGAAATGGGGCTTTGTTCGCATGGGTTGTCAGAAAGGGAAGAAGACCTTCAAACTTCTGGAGTTTCAGCTGTACAAGGTATTTTGATTGGTTCTTATTAATATAATGGCATGATAAGTATTAGCTATTTTGTTGTTCTAATATGTTCTCGTTCTTCAGGTGAAGTGTGTCAACGAACAACTCTTGTGGACACAACATTAGAGACTGATGCAAGTTCAGTGCCTCGTCCAGCAGAGGACATTCTGGAAAATCACGTTAAGCTGGATGGGCACTTGGATAATGACATGCCTGCACCTGAAACACTACTTTCAGTTCCCACTGAGGTCACTTCCCTGCCAAACCATTTATTACTGGAGCCAACTCCAGAAAAAGAGACTGTACAAGAGTGTGAGGGTAGTGAGGATGGTGTCAAAATTCTTTCTGGAAAGAAGCGCTGTTCTATGGAAAGTACACCAGCTCTTCAGAGTGGTAAATCAACTAAGCTTTCTGGGGTGCCTCAATCCAAAAGAACTGTTGAGTCTATTCCTGATGATGATGATCTATTGTCGTCCATATTAGGTATTGACTAATTCTTGCTTTTTATGTTATTCAAGTACTCAAGCATGACATTGAATCATGTTACCTTTCCAGCGGCACTAATAATGTATCACTTGATTGCTGTGTGGTTATGACTTGAACTAAAACATTGACCTCAGTTGGACGAAGAACTTCGGCTTTGAAGTTAAGGCCTACTCCTCCTATACATGAAGTAGCGTCTTCAAAACGCCCCCGGTTAGCAACACCCAGGAGCAGTGTTACTAAGAGGAAGGTGCCTTTGGATGATAGCATGGTCTTGCATGGCGAGTATGTTTCCATTATCTCTGTGGTCTGTTGTAGATTATATTGTCTAATGATTGCCTTCTCACATTTTTCCTATTTCTTTTTGGGTAGATCTTCTATTTGGCATTTGTATTATCTTCTACCATTATGTTATCCCAAACTATGTGGCCTGCCTAATTATCAATTTGGAGTGCAGGATCCATAGACAATATTGATACCTTCCATAGCATGGTGATTTTATTTTCTAAATTTGTTTTCAGCCTTACTTAATTGGCTTTTATTTTCTTTACCTTTGATTTTGAAATTTCTTCTTGCCATGGGGTTGTTTTGACCAGAGAAAAACATTTCTAGTTATGGTATTTGGTTGTTAGTTGTCCAGTAGATGGGGTATAATGATGGAATGGTCTCTATTTATTCATAAACACTATATTTATATGGAGTTTCATGCACATGAAAGGCTAATTTCTGTACTACTGTTGTATATATTTGAGAGTTTGATGCTGCAATCTATTCTCTTTTCACATGTGATATTGTGGAAGTTATTTAGAGTAAATTTCAATTATAGTTACTTAATTAGCAGCCAATATACTTGCATTTTGATGCCTTTGTTTTTCTCTTCCCCACATAAGTACAATACGACAACAGTTGACAAATACTGAAGACATACGCCGTGTGCGAAGGAAAGCTCCATGTACTCATTCTGAAATTTGGATGATTCAGAAGAATTTGTTAGAAGTGGAGATTTTCAGTGAACCTATATTTACTGGTGAGTTCTGTCATTTTGTTGCATGGTAGATTACTTCCTATGACTTTTATTTGTATGGCCATGTGCGAAGGAAAGCTCCATGTACCTGACTCTTTGTTTATCATAGTGTTGGATCTATTTAACTATGTTTTCATTACAGGAAGAAAGTTTCATATTTGTTCTAGTGGGGAGACACAATGGTTATTCATTTTTCAAGAAAAAAGGGTATTCATTTTGGGAGATGACCTAGTTCAGAACAAGGTTCAAAAAATCGATATGCCTGTGTATTGGCAGAGGCGTATCGGTATTTAGATACATGCAGATACATACTTTTTTTAGTTTTTTTTCAAAAATTGGTTTTTGGGGAGTTACAAAACAGTTTTTTTATTAAAAGAGTGGGGTCCTGAAACACCTGTAAACAGGCATATCGGGGCCCAAAAGATATGGGGTGTATAGTATTGAAATTTTGAACCTTGGTTTGGAATTCTTTCTGTGGATGAATACTACTATCTGAAAGCTAAATTACTATAGCCGAAGTAGTAGAAAAGAGAAGAATAAGAAGAAGAGATGCTGGAATGTCGAACTGCACTGCTCAGTCGACAGTACTATTATTTATATTATG